TAAAGGTCCTCTGTCTTAGCTGGATCAGTCCCCCGTCTGTGGTGGCTGCAGGATATCCACCTCCTTTGGCAGTTGCTGTTCACATTGGGCAGCTTTGTTCTCAGGTTATAAACATGAACCACTTGGTCTGCCCCTTTCACCATAGCTGTGGTGTTTATTTCTGTTTCAGTGATGCTGTGCAGTCTTGCTGGAGAACCTTTTGATCCACTGGCTTTCCAGTTGAATTTTCCAAGAGCTAGTTTATGTGTTTGGGGTGTGTGTACTATGCAGTATTTCATGTTGGTAGCTTGGGTTTCTCCTTCCGTGTGCGTGTTCCTTTGAAGTGCTTATTTTCTTATTCATCTTCTAACATCAAACCAACAGCAGACCTGTGGCAGATCCTCTCAGATCATGTAACGGAAAGAATGCTGCTCCTTCTGGCAGCTGCAAGTTCCCTTTGACAGCAGCCCCTGCCTGGTCTGACAGCATTGCTCTGTCAGGGAACAGAACAACTGCCGGGAATAATGTACATCATCTGCAGTGCTCTGTTCTAGGATTTTTTTTTTTTTGCATGTGTATGTCTGTGAAGGAGGAAGTATTGAGGCATTATTTGGGGAGGGTTCTGCCTGAAATATTTTCTGTGTTCTAGAGAACAAGTTACTAAAACATGCAGTAAAACAAAGCAGAAATGTTTCTCTGCTGTATCACAGCTGGATTCACCCGGGAACGTTGTTCTAGTGTGGATATTTTTATCGTGGAATGCGAGATGCAGCAGCCTCGTTGTGCCAGGATGCCGTGCTGTCACAAACCACGCTCACCACCGCAGCGTCCAAGTAACTGTTCGCTTCCTCTCTTGAGTAAAACTGGAGTTACTCAGCTGCATAGTTTCAGACTAAATGTGGCTTTATGAGTAACAGGCTGGTCTTCTGATCTCTGAAATGGAAAGCATTCATTTAAACTTTTGCAACTGTAACTAAGCAAATGGATGAAGCTGTGTTAGATCTTTTAAAATCTGAGAAGTTGGTCATTTGGAATGATACTTCCTAAATGGGAAGAGCAATAGGTAGGACATTGACTTCCTTCTCTCCTTGCCTCACTGACTTTCTAATCCCTTCAGAAGAAGCTGTCCTGTCATTATGGCCTTGGATGGGGCTCTAGAGACTCTCATACTTAATTCTCATTTTGTCTACTGCCATCCTGTGTGACCTTGAATAAGTTATTTAATCTCATTAGATCTCAGTTTTTCATCTGTCCAAAAAAACCCAACCCAACCCAACCCAAACCAAAAAAACCCTAAAACCAACCCACAAGCACAAACCATTTTTATTTATATTTCATGTTGCTGTACAATTGCATCTGTATTGCATCTATACAATTGCACAGTAGAACACCATTTTCAATTGGATTTCTGGCTGTTGGTGCATCTGTACAGATCTGTACAAGATCTGACTGTATCTTGTAAATATGTCTTGCACAGTGTGATTTGAACATTATAATTCAATTGATAATAGCGTCTATTTCCCCAGTCAGAATGGCATTGTTTCTTTGGCTGGAAATCAAAGCAGCAAGGAAAAGAAATGCTGGGTGTTTGAGTGTAGTAACTGGCTCTTGGCTCAGTCCTGTTGTGGTAATTCTCTGCATATAACTGAACAGAGCTTTTTGACTTAATTGTTTTGGACAGCCTTTGATTCTTTTACTCAATTTGACAGGCTCAGTGTGATTCTAAGAGTTTTCAAATTCTGTTCTGATTCACAGATAATCTTAAAAGAATCCTATGAAGTGAGGTTAAGAACTGGAGAGTTGTTCTTCTAGAAACATTGGCAGATGCATTAGAACAACTGCAAACGTTAGAGCAGCCAGTGTGTGATCCTTACATTCTTAACTGTGTTAGAAAATGTTAGAGGCTTTGACTTTGGGCTTGCACGTTTTCCTGCATGGCATCTACTAAAGCCTTCTCTTCTTTGTGCCAAGACAGCCCTTGGACAGTGGGATCATTCCATTGACCTGCTTGTTTTTAATGTAAAATTGCTGCTGATTTAAATACTTTCGTTTTTCAGGAAACTCTGGGACAGCATTATGTCCTGCTAGTGACTGGCTAGAGAATTCGTGGGGTGAGAAGTGAGGTGCAGCTGCCTTCTGTACTGAGCTCTCAGGAAGTGCTGGGATTGGTACCTGAAAATTCTGCACAAAGGAAGCTGAACCAAGGGTTCTGTGCATGAGCCAACAGTCTGTTTGAATCGAAGAAAAATAACTTATTGGATGGAAGTTTGGCAAGAGGGGACTCCATGTTGGCTGACCCCTAGGAAGGGATAGGGATGCAGGGAAAGGAGCCATGGGAAGGAGGTTGCATTCTGTGTACTTGTGGGCTGCTGTCTAGCTCCTCTGAGTTTTTTTCAATTAAGATTTTGAACTGAAACATTTGGACTGATGTTTTGCCAGCAGTGGGAAATGATTGTGGACGTGGATCCTGAAACTGAGAACTATGGTTATTTGACAACCTGTGAGTAAATAGGGTAGAGGTTTATATTGGGGCACAGTCTGTCTGTGTGTTTGTTCCTTGAGTGTGTGTCTAGCTCTTAGTCTGTGTTTCTCACTCTCTTTCTCTCTTTGTGCCTCACACAGGCCCTGCCATGAATTTTCTCTGACCCCTTGGGGCCATTCCCACATGAGGCTTTGATGTGTGTGCCCAGAGCTTGATTGACAAGGAAGTTTCAGTGGCGGCAGCAGGGAAACTAAGAGAAAAGGGCAGGGCTTTGAACTAAAGGGCTTTGAGCTCTGAGATGCTGTGCTTACTTATCTTCTTCAGAATGTTAATTATTTACCAAGATAATTGGTTGGGAGGTGAAAAAAAGAGAGGGGAGGTTATTAAAAAATTCCAACACTAACACACTACAAAAACCTCATTTTCCAACTTGCAGCTGGCATGAAAAGGATGTTGTGTGTAAAAGGGCTTCAGTGTATGTGTGTTGGGGGGCCCTTTTTAAGGCACCCATTTCCTAAATAGACGAATGCAGCGAAAACATCAAAGCTCTTGTGAGAGTTTTCTCTGAGGTTTCTAAACCATGTCTGGTACTTTTTAATTAAAAAAGTTTATGGAGAGCCGTCTTTGTGACTGGAGCAGGCAACCTTAGGCCCTGTTGATTGAGGAATGAAATGTTAAAAGACCTAATAAATAATTATTTTTGCTAAAATGTCAGTTCGAGGATGTGAAATTTCCTGGATACTTTAGCAGGAGCTGAAACTTGGAGTAGGCTAAGGAGTGTCTCCTGCTTCAGTCTAGTGTGATGTTGGCCATGCTGTGTGAGACAGTCTCCCACAGCCTTTGGATTAGCATCAAAAAAATGTGTAATACCACATGCTCATCTGAAGCTTGTAGGCAGGAAGATAGGTGAAGCTGTTTCATTTTGCCTTCAGTTAATACAGTTTTATCAGTCTCTGTATAGGGCAGCAGTCCACAGCATCCTCCGTGAAGATCAGGGTTCCGCTGAGTTCTGGTAACTGCTGTTCTGGATCAGGTCCAAGGACCGTCATTCCAGTATCCAGACTGGGCTGATGGTGGCAACAGAGGTTCAGGAAAACTTCAGAGCCGGCAGTCTGCCCTGCACAGTTCCCAAGTATGCATGAGTGATACCAAGGGAGGCAGTGGGTTGCTTTTATCTAGTTTACACTATGATTTGGTGTCTTTACCTGTTTCTTAGTATAAGGCTTCCTAAAAGCTTAACAGAATTGTTTCAGCTACTTTTTCTTTATGTGGTATTATACTGACATGTGATGCAGGTAATAAATACAATATTTTTCTTTCAGAATCCTTTCTGGTACAGCTGGTTATAGCATATCATAATAATCTTCTGCGTATCACCTTCAAACCATTTAAAAATCCAAGCCTGTGCTTGCAGCAGCGTCTGGTTTTAGTACTAAGTTCAATAATTTTGACTTTGTTGCTCTCTGTTTCCCTTGGGAACACTTGGATACACCATCTGGACATGGTGGGGTAGTGCTACGTAATGTATTGCTTAGTTCCAGCACTGGGTTTTTTGAAGGTGTGGTGTGACACTGTGGTCACTGGAGATGGCAGAGCAACCTCTGTAGGTAGGTCCCTCCTTTACCTACAGGTGCGTTTGTGATTCTTTAGTTGAACTGGGGGACTGTGAGTCCAGTTTTACAGTTTCTCTGGTGCCCAGCAAAGGACCAAAAGATAACGAGGGACCGATGTGTCTGCCATATGGGGAGAGGCAAAGAGAGTCAGGGTTGTTCAGCCCGGAAAAGAGAAGCTCTGGGGAGCTTGTCAACATGTGCAATGAAAGAGATGGGGAACAGCAAGGGAGATGGGCCAGACTTCCCAGCCGTGCCCAGTGAAAGGACGAGAGGAAATGGACACCAGTCACAGGAACTTCCATTGAAATAAAGGGAAAAAAATAACAACCAAACCCACGGGATGGAAAAAGTGTTTGAATGTGGCGATTATTCTGACAAGTAGGAACTAGGAATTCAGGCTGGATTTATAAAAGGAAATACTGCCTCCTGGAAAGCTGGCGAAACTAGACAAATTTCGACCATAGACGTAGACCCCATAGGGTGTAAATGTAATAAAATGATCTAGAATAGATTTTGGAGGGCATAGCTAGATTTTTCTTCTCTTGCTATCAGCCACTCAGATCTTAGAAGATTCTTCTTCATATTCCTGTTGTCTGCTCAGCAGTGGAGAATGTGTGTGCAATACAATGGCAGGAGATACGGGGACAGAGGAGAAGGAATGGCAGGGCACTGGCACAGTGAGCACGTGCTGTACAGGTCTCATCACCTGTGTGTGGTAGAACAGATAATAAAATTTTGCTTCACATTGTACTCCAAGTGCCCTGTGCTCTGCACAAGTTTAACTTTTTCTGAATTATAGATAGTTCAGTGACCTTGGCTTGAACTCCATGAATTTGTCTGTACCTGTCTAACCTGCCTCTAATGTTCACTGTGAACTATGAAAGCATCTACATTCAGTGATACCTTCTTTTCCCCTTTTGCTGCAGGCTAAACTCTTTCCAACTGCTGTAATTCATTTTGGATCTGAGGAGTGCAGGGGTGAGTGCATTGCCTCTTTCCTTCAGCTGACTGTATAGCTCTTGTAGTAGACCGAGAATTACATCCTTACTGTCAGAGTTCTTCTGACAAAGGGTACTGCAGTCCTTGAGAATGCTGGTGAATGTCCCCATTCCAACTGGCTGAAGCTCTTCAGAGCTGGCTTGGTCAGTTAGCTTGAGCACAAATGTAGACATAGTACCTTTTTTATGGGATTCGTTAGGCTGGGGAGTAAGCATTGTCTGCCATGAGAGCAAGAATGATGGAAGAATGGCTCTGTAGAAAAAAACCCTGTTGTTCAAAATGTTAACTAGCCAAATTACTATGAAATGCTTTTGCAGTGTTCCTGTGGTAGTGGATTGGCTGAAGATGGTAGAACAGATCTGAATCTTTGGTACTTTGACATCTCTGGTTTATGCTTAGAATCCCTGTTTCTCCCAGAGATCAAAGCATGCTCTGGCTTCACAGAAAAGTTTCTGAGATGTGGTGAGCACTGAAAGAAAATGTCAAGATCTCGGGGTTTGAATGATGAAATAGGGCACCTCTGAGTTGTGAAAGAAACTTTCATAGTTAAAAAGTGTCCTATGTCATTTGGGGCAAGGGTGATGGAGATCTACTGTAGTATACAGCAGGTATTTGTTGAGCTGAGAGCTATGTGATACTGTGGTGATTGATGTATCTATGTTACAAAGTGAGTGATTTGATTTCATTTTTAAACAGCTTGTTACCTGAAATCAGACCTGCTGAGCTCTGCAGTTTCCCCTTCTGCAGCTGATTTATTAGTAGCCAGGTATGTTGAGACTGAATAGAGTTGCAAATACCTGAGTATTTCAGGGATGGGGGAAGCATGAAATGAGCTCATCTTACTACAAAGATGATGCTAGGGCTTCCTGCTCTCCAGAAACAGTCATACTGTCATACTCAACTTCATAGCTTTGTGAGTCCTTTGCCAAGTAGGATTTCGGTGACTAAATCAAGTAAATCCTAGTGCTTCTATTGTGGAAAAAGAAGAACCTTTTCAATCTGACTTAAAAAATTTAAAGGTGGTGGTGGTGGTGGTACAGGGTTTATTATGAAAAATGAAGCTTAATTCTCCTTGCTTATTTTCTTTCTCAGGTGTTTTTCCAGGTCATTAGTTCCTTCTGCTTCATCGTCTGTAGCATCGAGAGCTCCGTCCCTGCCTGAACCAGAAGCGGGAAGCGACAAAAAGAGCAGCGAGTGTCCGGAAGCAGCCAGCACACAGGGAGCTCTGCAGGGCTTGAGAAGGACCCCTGGGAAAATCCCCAAATGGCTGAAGCTGCCAGGTATCATGAAATCAGAGGAGAGCTCTGTTCATTCTAAACTGCCCCAAAAGGCAGGCTCCTCTCTGCCAAACGTGGTGGGTGTTGCCAGTATTGTTGCAGATGCCAGCTTGTGCATGCAGGAACTTGGTTCACTGCTTGTTGATCACGCATCGGTTTGTGACTTGAACTTGAGCCTTCACTGGAGAAGGATCTGAGTGCAGGCTCTGAACACTGGGGAGTCTGATGCCTAATCCATATGCTTGCAGCATTCTTAACTATGTGTTTGGTTTGATGCACTGAGCTCTTAACTCTGCCAGTGTTGTTCAAATATTAATAGGCAGGACATTCTACATACCAAAGGCCAATGTCATCTGTTAAATCTCTGGCATTATTTTCCCTTTTGCTTCTGTAGTCTGTTTTAGTACTTTTCTTTCTCTTGAATTTTTTTAGCTGGTCTTCCTGTTTTAAATCTTCACTGCAAACCAGTAGTGGTTTTCCATAATGAAGATTGCAACCAAGTTTCCATTACTAATTTTTTCTTGGTTTATCCTCATCAGAAAACTGCAATCTTGTTTTTAGTTCCCGAACAAATAGCTTATGTGTGTGTTTTTTATGTGAATTTATACAAAATATGAGATAATTAAAAGAAGGATTCCTGAAATAAACAGTTGGCAATATTCACTTTTTGATGCAGTGGCAAAGACAAGAGGGAGAGCGAAGAGAGGAAATCAAAAAAAGGGGAAAAAAAAAAGAGACATTAAATCAGCCCCCTTAACAGCAACAAAACTAGTAATGCTTATATGGAAATCCCTGGCTACTAATGCCAAATATTAACTTTTAGTATTTGTTTCTGGAAGATACTATGGAGCCCTCAGCTCCAACAAGCAGACCATAAGGTCTGAAGGCTCCCAACAGTGTGTTGCTGTATTTCCCTGCTGTGGCCGTTCTGGTATAGATTGGTGCTGAGATACTGATGCAGTGGGAAACAGGATCTTCACTGTTGCCTGCTTCCAGTTTGTTTGAAGCATTGCACTTTAGAGTTTTCTTTCCCAAGTAAAGATTATCTGGACAAAGTACAAAATATCATCTCACCTGCCCATGCAGGTTTCCCATTTAACAGCTAGTATGAAAGGTTAATAATATGCTCTAATATACATATTAATAACATGAAGGATGAAGTTCCCTGCTCCAAAAGTTATGATGTATTTACCATTCCATCTCCCTAAGTGCTCCCATGTGGTCCCCAAGGCTGCCTGAGCACAGCAGTGTCCAGAACCCTCAGCCACAAGATCATATTATTGAGAAATGAGACAGTGCAAATTACATGTGTTTTAATGCTCCTGTGTTTGGTTTTTTTTGTAGGTGGAAAGAGATGAAGCATCCTGGGCTGCTGGATCAGTGAGCAATCAGCTGTCCCCCTGTCTTGATGAACTTACTCAGAATGTGTAAGAAATTGTTAGTGGCCCTGGAGAGCTAATCCGTATGAACATTAGTTATAAAAAGAGAATTGCTATTTCAGATGCTAGTTGCACCTGGTGGAGGAGTGGAAGGCCTGTTTATGGTCTTTGTGACTACAGAAGCAAGGTTAGAAGTTAAATTTAAGGTTTCTTGCATGCAAATAATAAGCATAGAGAAATAAGTGGGATATAATTTCTATATACTTTCTGCGAAGGACTTTGTTTCTGTCCATATTTTTAAATTCAATCTTCCCAGTTCTACCTTCAGAGATCACTTGAGTCTGTCTGCCTGGATTCTAGCATCAAGATACAATCTGGTTCAGCTTTAACTATAGTTGTTAAGTGATGCCTAAAACGACTTCTCTCTGCTTCTTGCTGGGTGGGGTTAGTGCTGCCGATAATTTTGGATATAGATACCTGGAAAGTGAATGAAGAGGAAGCACTTAGGTCACTTAAACCAGTTCAGTTGGCCTTTCCTGTGAACCTCTTGGGCTGCTGCCCTTGTATTGTGTTCAGTTGCCAGAATCTTACTAACAAAGAACACAGGTATCTGTTCATAGAATGCCTCTTGAGATTATTTCTGCCCTAAGCTCTAGTTCTATTTTCACTGTGTATGATTAACACCAGTAATTACAGCAAGGAAAAAGCCATCCAGTTAAAGGGTCTCTTTGGTTGGTGGTTGGAGTGTTCCTGGAGCAGGGTGGCCATGCCCTGCACCACCACTCGTGTTGGGGGAAAGCCCCAGTCTGGGTCCTTGCCTTCTGCAGATGTCATGTGGGGATGAATGTTGTTGGTTAGAATTGCCATTACACTGGAGATGAACTCTGTAGTGCCACGGCAGCCATGGTGCTGGATTCTATTTGAAGTCTTCTCCGTGGGTCAGTGATCCATGGAGAGCTGGGGTTCCATGGTATAGTAATACCATGTTTTCCATTTTCCTTGTTTCCTCCCTGCACTACATGCACATCTGCACAATTTGAATATGTAATAAAGCAGAGTGGCCGTGGGAGCCCTTTTGGTCGGTCCCTTTGATAATGTTTCTTGCCCCGGCACTTGGTCTCTCTGTCAGTTCACAGGAACCTGCTCCCTTTTCAATGGGCCTGTCATGCCTCATTCTCTTCCTCCCATTTTTTTTTAACAAAGCAAAACAGAGCTTTGTACCATCTGAATGAACTTCAAAGTGGCTAGAAAGGGCACCCAGGGTTCCTGGCACTTGTCATTGTCTCCCAGCCTGGCCAACATTTCCCTTCAGGTCTAATTATTTCCAAATGGTCCTAGATGCTTTGAAGAAACTTGGAGGGAGGGGGAGGCATGAAAGAAAGGTGTAAGAGGAAAAAGAAGACTCAAAGCAGAGGGAGCAGAATGCTTTACCAAAAAAGTAGATTGATTTCTTATATGACACCCAAACATAAACAGGGAATGTGTGCGGCCACTGGCAGTGGGGAATGTGAGAGCACTGTGTACAGCTGCCGCTCTAAATCCTCCCTGTGGAAAGCAAGCTCTTCTGGTGCTTGACAGGCTATAAAAGGCATACCACAGCAAACCAAAAAACCATTAAAATAATGTTTAAAGTTTATTGCTTTAGTGGATTAAGTGTGGACTGAGCCTACCTTCCATGGGACTGTCTGTATCTTGGTTCAGGTGCTGTGTCAGGCTTACTCATGTCAAACAAGTCAGAGGCAGACTGTAGCTAGAGCTGCTTTGCTGAATTTATGCAGGATATATTGGGGGGAAACCAGAAGCCATTGCTAATGATAGGTGGGGAAATACTTGTGCTGGTGTTTTTGATTCCCAGGGTTAGAATAAGCAGTGTGGTTTGAAGGAAGCTGTTGCAGTGTGCCTTCAGATGTGCTTGTCCTTATTTTTTGAAGAGCACAGGAGACACCAAATAGTGCCAATTTGCTTAGCTGTTCTGATTCTGCCAGTTTCATAAAGAGCAAGCACTGTAACTGTCACCTGCAAGTACCTGAGGTGGGAAAACAGAAGTAGTTTAGGGATACAAGCAGCAATATCAGTATTCTTGGGGCAGTTTCATGGGTTAAGTGCAGGGATGAGGACTAGACTTCATATTGCTGACTGTGAGTTCTCTCAGGCAGTTCTGCCTGTGCTTGACCCTTGTGCGACTCAGCCACACATCGAACCCAATACAAGCACAAGAATGAAAAATCAGTACCTTTAACAGCTAGATCAGAGGTCTTATTCCTCCTCCCTATGCAAAGAAGAGTTAGTTTTAGCTGTTGCTGCTATTAAAATGCTGCTTTGCTACTAATGTCCACATCAGCAATTCTCTTGAGTCAATGCTTGTGTGTGTCAGCGAAGGGAACTCGAGCCTTTTTATGGCAGCAGCTTTGGGACCTGTGTCAGTAGGAGTCAAGAGAGGAGGGAGAGATGAGGATCTGAAATCTGGAAAAGGCAAGAAAGTAGGACTGAATTCTTTAAGGGGGACAAGATGCCCTGACATTTAAAACTGCAGGCTGTTCACTAAGCTGCTTGCTACAAGGATTTCGGCCCTGCTGCAGAACAATACCTGCAGGTACCTGATGAGCTAGTTTTGTTTCAGTATCACTTCTGCTGTAATAGCTGAACTCATCCCTGGGGTTTTGGGGCATTCAAAGGTAGCATTAGTTGCATTTTTTTGCTATTGCCTTTTTTTACCAATGGTTGTGGGGCTGAAGGCTGAACTAGGTTAGTTTCTTCACAGGGTGCGTTGCACAGCTGCACAAACAGTTGTCTTGGCTGAGTGGCAGAGGGCTGCTGGGGACTGCTTAAGCTGGTACTGTCATCAGAATGTGTATTAAACTGCGGTTTTCATGAGGTTTCCAAGTGGCTGGTGTCCTGAGGAATGACCCTGATAGCTCCTGGCTGAAAAGAGTACAAGGACCTACTGAGCCTCAGCCTGCCACAGCTGTCCCTGGGAACAGGCCTGCTTGCTGCTGATCCCACAGCAGGAGTGCAGGCCCCGAGCCATGGCCCGTCAGTGGTGCTCCTGCAGGGGCCACGCACTTCCCAACAAAGCCACTTGGGTTGTGTGGGTCCTGCCCACATGTGTGAGGTTTCTTATTTCATAGCGCCCCCCTGCTCCCCACCCCTCTTCCCTTCCCCCCACCGCCAGAGGGGCCAGGCTGTCCCGTGATGTGGGATTCTCACACATGCTGTTTGTTATTTTGTCCTTTTTTCCTTTCCTCCTACAAAGATTTAGAGAAGAGGGTGGGTGAGGGGGAAACTCTTCAAGTCTTTGAAGCAACTTGACTTTTGATGATTAATTACAGCAAAGGGAGGGAGACGGGTTTTTAACTTACTGATGTTTGTGAGAACAAATTTATAGCAGAGGGGAAGCAGCTTCTGAGGAGAATATCAAATGGTTAAAAGGTTCCAAGTATTCTTTGATGTCACAGCTCTAGAGAAATACTGGAAGGTAGTGAGGGACAGACACTGTTTATTTATAAAATAAAGATCAGTTACCTGCTCTTGGCAAGAGCCTGTGACTGAGCTCCTGTTAACGACCTATTCATTAGACAGGCTTGGAGCTACTAGAGTTGCTGTCACAGCTGCCTGCCGAGGCAAGGAGAGCCTGAAGGCTGGATGGTATTTCCAGCCATTAAGTCTTTCCATGCATCTCTGTGAAGCAGCACCTGTTTCTCACATTAGCTGAGAAAGCAAAAGCATCTTAGCATGCTGTGAAGTACAGGCCCCTGTTACAGGAGTAAAGCAGCAAGATGGAAACCAGCTACATACTCAGCTGAACAAAACAAGCCTATGACAGCCTCTTCTCAAAAATAGTATCTGACAGCATCATTGCTATGGGCTGTATTGTGCTTGGTAAAAGAGAGGGGAAACAGAAGCAAAACAACAGAGGAAGAAAAAGTTGAAACTGTTTTTCCCAGAGCTGGACTCTGAGGCTGAGACAGATGTTTGCTGTCAGGTCAGGACCATCTGCTGGCAGGCAGCATGTGCTTCAGGAGGCCTCTAGAAATCCAGAAGCTGTAAGGAGAGAGCAGCAAGCCAGTCAGCACATAGGCCAGGTTCCTGAAACATCTCCCAAGGGGAAGAGCATTAAGCTGTTTCAGCTCACATCCTCATCCTGCTCCCGTGCAGTTGAGGCCCACGGTTACATACCAGCTGCGGCAGCACTTTCTCCAGATGCTCAATATCCACCTTCTCCAGGTCCTCCGTCTGAGCCTGCCGCGCTGCCCGTGCCGCCGCTTCTGCAGGACAAGGGAAAGCGGAGGACAGTGAGAGGGGTATGGGAGCTGCCAGGGAGGGGGGTCCCGCCCGGGGACGAGACGAAGTGCTGGATGCTCGGGGCGAAGGCTGGGGCGGGGGGGGCCCGCCGGGCGGTAACGGGCCCACAGGGCGGCTGGGGCTGACCCCGCGCGCTCACCTCGGACGAAGACGTTCAGCATCTCGGCCATCAGCAGCTGCGCGTCCCGTTTCACTGCAACGACAAGGCGCTCGCGGCAGGCGGGGGCCCCCAGCCAGCCGCCCCGGCCCTCCCGGTACCGCCGCCGCTGCCCCGGTACCCGTCGTCCTCCCGTCCCGGAATGCAGGCGGAGCAGCCGGTCCACGGTGTCCTACGCGGAGAGAGGAAGTATGAGCAGGCCCGAAACCCCCCGCCCGGGCCCGAGCCCCCCTCCCGGGACGCCGCCCTTCCTGAAGCCTCCGGCGCGGCCCGTCCCGCTCCTCCATGTCCGCGCCCGCCGGCCCCGCCTCTCCGCAGGCGCGCGCGGCGTGGGCGCGGCGGGGGCCGCGGCCCATGGAGCGGGGCCGGGGGGAGCACGCGCGGCCGTGGAGCGGGGCGCCGGCGGGGCGCCGGCCGTGGCAGATCGGTTCCGCCGGGGAGTACGCGCGGCTGCTGTGCGGCCGGCGGCGCGCGGCCCCGCAGGAGGCCGTGCTTGCGGCGGCTGCGGGAGGCCCGGCGGGGCGCGGGCCGCCTGGACCTGACGGCGCAGAGCCTGGTCGCTGCAGACGTGCGGCGCGCTGGGCCGGCTGCTGCCCGGGGCCGCGCCTTCCCGCGCTGTCGCTCGGCGACTGCGGCCTGAGCGAGGAAGCCGTGCGCCGCGGGACTCGCGTCAGGGGGTGGCCCCCGGCCGGAGGTCGCTCGTGTTTCGGGGCGGTGAAGGCGCCCGGTCTGTGACAGTGTGGGTGGTCAAGCGCCCCTCGGTTCCGTCCCTCTTCGAAGGCGGCTCTGCTGTTGCTGGCCGTGGACGGAAGGGACAGTCCGGCTGGTTAAAGCCGCCGGCAGTGAAGGCGCTCCCGGGGCAGCACAGCCGTGGCTGTGGGGCCTCTCCAGGCGTGGGCTGAGCTCGGGGCTGGGTCACGCAGGTGCATAAGCTCCCGTGCAGCTCTGCCCAGACACCTCTTTGAGACTGTGTAAACAGTCTCCTGCCCCAAAAACTCAAGCTCACGCTTTCCAGCAGCAGTGGTCATTCGTTTCTCGAAGCCACGTCTCCTGAGCTGGCTGTTTGACAGGACGATACACTCTCAGCTCGGGCAAAGGGTTCCACGATGAAATAAACAGCTCTTTTTTTCCCCACTCAGGTGTAAAACTTCTGTTGCATGGTCTTTGCTCCAACACCACAGTCAAATCTTTGGATCTGAAGGTGAGTCTGTTCAAATGGAATTAGGACAAAGTGATGGACGAGAAAAAAGAAGCACAGGCTTAGTCAGAATTAGAACTGGACAGTTCTGGTGCAGGATTGTTCCGAAAGATGCGTACTTCTGTAAGGATTTTGTTCTCAAGTGACTTGTTCCTTGTGTCGTGTCCTTAACACCATGTCACAACGTTCCAAAGTTACTTTGCACATCATCTTTATCCATTTTTATTCGGTTACTCTGTTTTGATAGGAAGTTATAGCTATATATCTTTTGTCCACTGCTGCTTAGTCAGATGAGGCGTACGTAGGGGTTTCTTTGTGTCTCTGTATTGATCAGTGAGTTACTAACTGTTTGGCTTGTGCTTCTGTAGAATTTATCCAGCTTGCCAATGCCTTTTGGCTGGCCTGGCCTTGGCACTGGGCATCTGCCTTCAGGTGTGATGGTCACTCTACTGAGAGTGACTTTCTGTCTGTATTCCTCTGGCATACAGCTATTCTCTTGAATATACAGTCGCAAACTGTGTCACACCTTTCTTTCTCATTTGTGCTAGTGCTAACTGAGCCCTTTTTAATGCAGTATATTGAAATGGTTCTGCTTATCTAGAATCACCATTTTCTGTCCCACTGTGGCCCATGATGATCCTGTGTTATCCTGTGATTTTTGCAAGCTCTTGGTCATGGTGCCTCACAAGACCAGAGGTGTGTAGGTCCACTGTTCCTTCGGGGCTTTTAATTTTGTGGAAAGCTGACTGATACGTGAAACAAATGGTGGTTGGACTATCTTCGTCCAACTGAAATCGGCACTACAGCTGGGGTGCACCTGGTGGTGTTTGATGGGGAAGGCGGACTGGGACAGATGCAGCCTACTCATCATCTGGGACTTCTGTTTCAGGGAAATAACCTACGAACTGTGGGAGCTGAGGCTTTGGGAAAACTTCTTAGGCAGAACAAATCCATCCGGAGGTAAAAAAATTGTGTCTACCTCTCTGTGTTATTCCTGTTAGATGGAGCACAACAGTTGAAAAGGGCTGAGGGTGTTTTTTATTGGGGTGGGAGGAACATCGAGTGGTACAATTTCTTGTGACGGGTGGGAGAGATGAAGGAGTGAGAACAGGAGGCGCCCTTTCAAAGGATGCCAGGTCGTGACAGCATCCTGCTCTCTGAAACCAAGTCTGTTCGTGGAGCTGGGTGTTTGACTGGGTACCATGATCCACATATCATTCAAGCTCATGCAGCTGTCCATTTACTCCACAAACTCCAATCCTGTCTGATTTTCCTAGCCTAACCTTAGAATGGAACAGCCTTGGCATGTGGGAGGAAGGCTTCTCCTTTTTCTGCCAAGGACTGGGAGCAAACAACTTTCTCCAGCGGCTGGATCTGCGCAATAACCAGATTAACCATCAAGGGGCTGGAGAGCTGGCCGTGGCACTGACACAAAATGCCAGTCTTCAGGAGCTGGGTAAGAGTTCTTTGCCCACGTACATTACGCATGCACACACACACACATATATATCTTCAGGTTCCTTGCAGGCTGCCCTGACTTCTGGCAACTGGTTGGTGTCGTTCCCAGTTCCTGTCGGTCTGGAGTGCATTGCTGTTGTTGTGCAGGGAAAGGTCGCAACCCCATGGTCTTTGGAGAATGGCAACTGTAGTTGGAATCTCTGGATCCAAACCCACAGCTGAAGAATTGTGTAGTTGGAGCAGAACAGTCCTTAGCAGAGGAGGGAGTGTGTTCATTCCTATCTGTAGATGCTGTTGGCATGCCTCATGACAGACTCTGAGACTTACTTCACACTTGCTTTGTCCTTATATGGAATTTTGCTGGAATTTCCTTCAGGAGAACATGGCTTTTGTTGCGAGTTCTTTCTCATCTGCAGATTTTGGCTGTAGAAGGAAGGCTCACAAGAGGCAGACTTGTGTAGATTTTGAACTGTAGTGGCTTTCTGCACTTTAAAGAAGATATATCTACCTTTCCTGCTTTGTCTGTTACTTTCTCTCCTTCTCATTCATCTTGAAAGGAGAGACAGTGTTCACCTGTGTTTATGCTAAGACCATCTGGGATTAGTTAGCCACGCTTGTAGATGTATAAAGAGCATGGGGTTTCTTGGGCCTTGTGTTTTTCAGCAGATGTGTGACTACCATGGTGAAAGTTTGCTTTGTGTATAGATTTGCGATGGAATAATATTGGGCTTCTGGGTGGCCGAGCTTTGCTGAACTGCCTGCACAGAAACAAGTCGCTGAAGAGGCTGGAGCTGGCAGGGAACAATGTTCCTGGCGACATCTTGAAAGCTGTGGGTAAGTATGATGTGTTGTGCAGTAATGAGTCACTAACTCCTTTCCCACTTCAGCACTTGAGAGAAATAGGGCACTTACTGCTCCAGAAGAGAGCTATTCCTCCTTTCCTCCCTTTCTCAACAGCATTTCTACAGGAAGCCCTACATCACTTCCTCTTGTCCTTTAGTGAGAGCTGGTCAAGTTGGAAGTGTCACTTTCACTAGCAAGAGCAAAAAAATAATTTGGATTGAGTCAGAGATTACTGTGCCATGGGAATGTGGGAGAACTTGAGATTAGTTTGCCTCTGAGTAGCCAAGTTTTGATGTGGCTTGTGCAGG